ACCTACCTACCTACCTACCTACCTACCTATCTATCTATCTATCTATCTATCTATCTATCTATCTATCTATCTATCTATCTATCTATCTATCTATCTATCTATCTATCTATCTATCTAATCGCTATACCTTTCTGCTCACTGCAATGTATGTCCCGACTACAGATAGCTTTAGAAAGCTAGTTTTCAGACTACATCTCCCAAAAAGCTTGGGGTCTTTTGGGAGCTGTAGTCCCCCCCCCCCAAAAAAAACACCAAAAAACGTTTCAGAGCTTTGCCATTCCACATTGGCATTTCACAGCAAGGATATTTAAAAACAGCATTAACCAACCTGAACATCATACGGCGCGCAAGCCTTTCCCATGGAGCCTGGCTTAATCTTCATCCCTTTGAGGACTGCACAGGCCATGCCCTGTTTCAAAGAGGAGCATTGTTGTGAATGGCAAAATAGGAAGGGTCTCGTGCAACTTGACCCGATGTGCATTTACTCAGAAACAAACTCCAGTGAGTGATTGCTATGCGGTTTGCACCCCAGCAACTGTATACAGGAGTTCAGTTTTGAATTCTTTGGATACTCAGAGGTCACCTGTCTTTGTCCGTCTCGAGAAACAAGACATTGCCGTTTTCACTAGGAGCAGGTCTTTTGTAAATCTAATGGGTTTCAGTGGCCTATCGAAAGGCAAAACATACCAGCAGGAACGCAACAGGGAGAGAGCACGGAAATACGTTGTTGCATGAAAATTCTACCTCCTCTGCAGGGTCTTGTCCACACTGCAGCTAAAGCCCGAGTGGGAAAGAGGACAGCAGACGACATCATTGTGGCCAATCAGAATCTCCTGGGGCCTCAGCCCGGATTTCACTGCATCACTGCATTAAAGAGCAACTTCAATGTACTGTTAACTTAAGAGCTGTCTAGCTTTTAAATAACGACAATTTTTTAATTTTTTTCTTTGTATAATAGTTGTGCATGGAGGAAGAGGCTGCATGTGGACAGAAACAAGAGTTCAGAAAAGTTACTTAAAAAAAAAACAACAACAACTACAAATCCTACTATCTCCCTGCCAGATGGATGGAGTATTCTGGGACCTATAGCACAAAAAAAGTGACATTTCCAAGGTTTAAACAGGGACGTGGTGGCGCTGTGGGCTAAACCGCAGAAGCCTGTGCTGCAGGGTCAGAAGATCAAGCAGTCGTAAGATCAAATCCAAGCGACGGAGTGAGCGCCCGTCGCTTGTCCCAGCTCCCGCCAACCTAGCGGTTCGAAAGCATGCAAATGCGAGCAGATAAATAGGTACCACGACGGTGGGAAGGTAACAGCGTTCCGTGTCTAAGTTGCACTGGCCATGTGACCACGGAAGATTGTCTTTGGACAAATGCTGGCTCTATGGCCTGGAAACAGGGATGAGCACCGCCCCCTAGAGTGAGTATTCTGGGCCCTATAGCACAAAAAAAGTGACATTTCCAAGGTTTAAACAAGTGACCTGCAGGCAGAGAAGTTGGTGTGCAGGTGGCATTCAAGTGTGTGAATGCTACAAGGCATAGTGCTTTAACACTTATTACTGTTTATGCTTCAACACAAGACTAGGAAATGGGCAGCCCTCCAGATATTACAGGATGGCAGCTCTCACCAGCCATAGCCAGAATAACTAAAGGTAAAGGATGATGGGAGTTGCAGTCCAAGAAGATTTTCCAAAACTCTGCTTTATAATACTTTTTAAAGTGTGACTTAAATATGTGACCTAGGAGTGTGGGAGAGTTTTGTTTGGAGTGTATTCTTAACTTGCAATTCCTGGAGTCAATATGTACACCAGAAAGTATTTAATGGATTTAACCTGCTCAATTTCTATCCTACCATTTCACCCTTGCGGGACCCAAGGCAGTTTACAAAGAACATTGCAAAAACCACAAATAAAATCCTTCCGATGGCACATTTTCCTGAATGACATGATTGAATCCTTGGCTAAAAAAACGCTATACATACCAGGAAGAAAGCATAGAAAAAAGGGCTCATACTTTAGAGAAAACTGCATGCAAAAAGCAATTGTATATTTTATGGTGAATGTGTATCCAGCTAGCTGGATAGCTCAGGGATGAGCATCTGCTGCGGAGCCAGAGTCTGGGCTTTTAATTCCCCACTGTGTCTGCTGGGAGAAGACCCAAGCTGGGTGGCCTTCACAATTCATGGATGCCCACAGAAGATGGGAATGATAAACCTGAGTATACTCAGACCTCCTGTATGGAGAATTAGTGCAGGGAAAGTACTCCAGAGGGAGACCTCAGCTGCGATACAAGGATATCTGCAAGCGGGGTCTGAAGGCCCTGAAAATGGATCTCAACAGATGGGAAACCTTGACCCCTGAGCATTCAGCCTGGTGGTGCATCATGGCCTCTCCCAATTTGAAGAGACCCTTGTCCAGCAGGCCGAGACAAAGAGGCAGTCCCGAAACCAGCAAAATCAGGGAGCTGGACAGGGAACAGATTGGATTTGTCTTCAATGTGGAAGGGATTGTCACTCTCGAATTGGCCTTCTCAGCCACACCAGACGCTGTTCCAAGACCTTCATACAGAGCACGTTACCATGGTCTCTCGAGACTGAAGGGTGCCTAATCGGAGTATGCTGTACTTGGAAAACTCTGGAAAGGGACACCATAACTTAGAATTGACTTGACATCACATGATGATGGTGGTGGCGGTGGCGGTGAATGCATATTTTATAAGGAAAATTCATAATTTGAATATATACAAAATTCACAGAAAAGATGATGGAATGGGCTTAGAACTGAGTATATGCAGAACTCACGTGGAACAGAATGAGTCTAATACAGTGGTGCATCGCTTAACGAGTGCACCGTATATATATGCAGAACTTACGTGGAACAGAATGAGTCTGATACAGTGGTGCCTCGCTTAACGAGCGCACCGTATAATGACGAAATTGCATAGCGAAATATGCATACCAATGGCCCGACGATCAGCTGTTTGGCGGCTCCAAAATGGCCGCTGGAAGCCCCGAAATGGCCGCCCACAGCGTTTTCGCACCTTGCCCTCGCTTAACGAGGGCCCGAAAACGGCTGCCGGACCCGGGAAGCATCACTGAACGGTGAGTTTTCGGCCCATTTGGAACACATTAAACGATGTTTAATGCGTTCCTATGGGCTTTTCTGTCCCGTTCAGCGATGTTTCGCCATAGCGAAGGTTAATCCAGAACGGATTAACCTCGCTATGCGAGGCACCACTGTATGTCCATCCACAGTGAACCTACCGTTTCGGTCTGTCCATAGGCTTCGTGGATGTCTAGTCCTGTTTTCTTCTTCCATTGCTCCATCACTTCAGGGTTTAGAGGCTCTCCTGCACTTATGCAATGGCGGAGGCTCATGAACTTATAACTAGCAAGGGGTGAGAAATTTAATCAGTTTGTTTTTTGTTAGAAATAAAACTTTACCAACGTGCACAGATTTCATCAGGTAGAGATGTTCATATGTGGGACAAAATCATAAGTGATTGATCCATCCATCTAGATGGGTTTTTGCATGCCTGTGTAAGCAACTATATTAGTGCTAAATTCAATTGGTGTCATTGAAGAAAAAGCACACATCTGTATGGCAGGAAAGTACTACATGTTTCTCTTAATGCTGAGAGTACTTCTCCATTTTCCATTTCACCAGTGCAAATGGAAGAAGAGTTTAATTTCAGATCATTTTAAGAAATTACTTAAAATGTGCATTTGTTGGCATATTTGCAATTTGAGATTTTAAAAATGCAAATAGCAGAGAAGGCGAAAGGGACAGATCTTGCCTATCCCTATAAAGAACAGTATTGATGTAAAAAATGAAAGATCATTTGTAAATATATACATGGCCTAAAGAATTTGCTGGTATTATTAACAAGATGAGAGAAGGTGCCTGGAATGTAATGTTTCAGCTAAGTCCACCTTCTAAGTGAAAACAAACAAGCAAACAAAAATCAAAAGTGGTCTTTCTGCTGGTGAAATTATGAGACTTTCTGTGTATACAGGAAACAAATGAAACATTAGGTTCTCTGGGTTACCAGGTGAGAGCATCAGCTAAAGACCCCGAATGCCTCCAAGATAGAGACAGAGAAATCTCAGAGTGGACAACACTGGAGAAGAAGACAATTTGATTTGCATGTATGAATGCTTTGAAGCTTGCAGATCCATCTTCATCCATGCCAGAAAGCACCAGGGCTCCCTGGCGCCATGCAAATATGTTTGCATGTATGTTGCATTTGCACAACATCAGTGTGCATTTTACAAGTCCTAATTGCCTCAACAACAACAACAACACACACCTCCCTTCATGTTCTGTGTGCTGTACTTAAAGCCACACAGGAATGGTAGCCACTGTCCTACTCACTGGGCATATATTGATCCCTGATTAGCTATTGAGTGCCATATTGTCTAGTTTTAGGTTCTCAATTTGTTTACCCGGATGTCCCTCCCATTTATTTGCAGAACCAACTGGCTCAAAGGCAGTTCCGCCCCCACAGCTAGTCCTCACCTGCCCTGCTGCTGTGACATCACAAGAGCCCACCCTTGCTCTTGAGTTTGGGCTGTGTTTCCCAAACTAGAGTCTCTAGATGTTCTTGGAACCCACCCTTGCTCTTGAGTTTGGGCTCTGAATCTAAGGCTGTGTGCCCCAAACTAGAGTCTCTAGATGTTCTTGGAACCAAGACTCCCAGAAACGTTCACCACTAATTGTGCTGGCCAGGATTTCTGGGAGTTGTAATCCAAGCACTTTTGAGGACCTAAGGTTGGGAGCCAGTGATCCGAGGGACCAGCCTGCTGCTGCTATGGCAGCCCTAACTTTTGAGGACCTAAGGTTGGAAACCAGTGATCCGAGGGGCCAGCCTGCTGCTGCTATGGCAGCCCTAACCCCCTCCCTGTCACATGGGAAGCGCTCTTCAGAACCTTAGGATGCAATCTGAGCTTCAGAAAGGCATCTGGATTGTAAATTTTATGTTGTACTGGAGGCAAGAGTTTATTCATAGGCTGCTTTCCTGCTGATAAAAGGCAGCTCACAACATTAAAACAAGTAAAATTAAAAATACAGTAAATTCTGCCTTTAAAAAAATCTTATAATAATAATTTTTGAAAACGCATTAAGTGATTAAAATTAAAGCAAAAGTTTTATGCTGTACTGGAGGCAATTTTTGAAAACACATTAAGTGATTAAAATGTTTAAAACGTTAAAAGCAAACTTCCTTAGCTAAACCAACCAACCAACCAACCAACCAACCAACCAACCAACCAACCAACCAACCAACAAACAAACAAACAAACAAACAAAGAATTATGTCTGTAATAGTGTTATTACATTGGCAGGAGGTTGGAACCAATTACCCTCGGGGTCCCTACAATCTCATGATTCTGTCATTCTAAGTCACCATGATTTGCATTTTCAACTCAGCAATTCTACTGTTCAGCAACATCACTGCTGAGAAGACATAACGAGGTAAGTACTCTTTTGCAATGATATTTTTTAAAAGCAATTTCCCCTTGGTACCTGCTCAAATCATTTTGCACCAACATGCGGAACAAGGTCGGAGCACCCAGGATGGTGGTGATGGGAAATCGGGAGAGAGTCTGGTAGATAAAAAAAAAAGGCAAGCAACATTTGTGAATGAACACCACCATGTGACCTAAGCCCGAGGTTTAATCTACCAAAAATACGCGAATCATGTTGGCGTCTCACACTAATAGACACGATGGCGCTGGACGATGCAGCAAAGCAAAAGTGTGCTGCTTATATACGACCTCATAGTGCTTAAATCTCTCTCTAGCCAGTTTGCAATTTAATTACGCAGGCTACACATTGCCCCCTCCAGCAAGCTGGGCACTCAATTTGCCAACCTTGGAAGGATGGAAGGTTGAGTCAACCTTGAGCTGGCTACCTGAACCCAAGACTGAAATCGGGTCATGAGCAGAGTCTTCACTGCAGCACTGCAGTTTAACCACTGCACCAAGAGACTCCTTTGTTTAATTATACTTTGATGAGTACAGTCCAAAATGGACGGTTTGTCCATTTCTACAAGCATTTTTAGTACAATCAGGGCGTAGCATCCAAAGGCAGAATAACCATGATGCTGTCCATCCTCTAGTAGGAAAGGAATAAGAAGGAGTGGTATTACCATATTTTTCCATGTATAAAATGATCCATCCTCTAGAAGGAAAGGAATAAGAAGCAGTGGTATTACCAAATTTCTCCATGTATAAAATGGCACTTTTTCCTTTGCTGTCTTTTGCGAAGATACAGGGCTTAGCAAAAAGGAAACCCTTTGATCCCTGCTTTTTCTAATTTGGGGTTAGAAAAGGGGGGTGTTGTCTTATACTTTGGGTCATCTTATAAACGGAAATATATGGTAATCCAGAAATGCCCATTTTGTTTAGAGTACAGAAACCCTAGCCAGCATGGTCAAACATCAGAGGTGATGAGGCTTGAAATCTGACTATACTGCAGGATACAAGATTTCCAGGTCCAACTAAGCAAGGCAATCTCTTGGAACATGAGAGGTCCTGAGTTTTACTTTTGGACGAGTCCAAGCTTCTTGGAGAAGAAGAGACACATTTATTTCGGAAGATCTCAGAACTTAGTACTACAGCTCTTGAAGGAGAAGATTTCAGGTTCCCCTTCTTTTTTTCCCTCCATCTAAAATAAGGTCGTCCAGCAAGTAGTGGAGAAGGATTTCTATTCTTGAGACTTTGGAGAGCGGTGGCTAGTTGGATTACTGGGTCAGATGGACAATTAGCTCGACTTGATCTAATGAGATAATGCATCATTGGGTGTTGATGGATCTGCCACCGTTTTCACATTTGCTTTAAAATCAGTGTGAGACGTGGCCTCAGAGTGTTTCAGGAAGGCAATAATGCCATTGTCAGGATCTCATAGCACAGTAAGAAAATACATATATAAGTAAAACAAGGTAAGGAATGGTCTCATTACTCATATATGGACATGCATCCTGTCCTCATCGAGAAGTTCAGAGAGAGAAATAATTAACTAATATATGTAAATGAAAGAGTGATTAAGACCCACTCCTACTTAACCCTAGCTACCAACCACTAAAAACAGAAAAAGGAAAGAAAGAACATAGAAAGAGGCAGGAGAAGAAAACCCACATGAGATGGGCCATCTTACATTTAGGATGATTGACGGTTCTACTTGTGGCATGTTATGTACAAAGACACATGATCCACAGACCCATGGATTAAAAACAGCTCCCAGACTAGTTAATATCCAGCCAGTGTCTGCAGTACACCACATGATGTCTAAGGGGGTTGTATCCAGCCAGTATCTGATAAACAGTGGAAAGAAAGTTGTGATGGATAGTTGAACTACATAATAAGGACTCTGATCAAAGGTCGTACTCAGTGGTAATAACATCAAGAAGTTGTACCCAGTGGGTCACAAGTCATGCCTAATGGTTGACAAATTCTGCTCTATTGGATTAGGATTGATGTGTCACATTCATGTTGTGTGGGTTGACAGCCCATAGTCAATGGGGTTCATCCAATTGTTGGCCCCATCTAGAGTGAGGCCCACTGAATCAATGAGACATACTGTACATTAAGTATTGATGTTAAAAATCTCATTTGTTCATTGGGTCTGCTCTACTTGGAACCAACAACAGGATTTAGCCCAGGAATGGGCAAATTGTTGCTGGACTGCAGTTTCCAGCATTCCTTTACATTGATTACCGTATTTTTCGCTCCATAAGACGCACCTCTTGTGATGGATAGTTGAACTACATAATAAGGACTCTGATCAAAGGTCGTACTCAGTGGTAATAACATCAAGAAGTTGTACCCAGTGGATCACAAGTCATACTTAATGGTTGACAAATTCTGCTCTATTGGATTAGGATTGATGGGTCACATTCATGTTGTGTGGGTTGACAGCCCGTAGTCAATGGGGTTCATCCAATTGTTGGCCCCATCTAGAGTGAGGCTCATTGAATCAATAAGACATACATTAAGTATTGATGTTTAAAATTCCATTTGTTCATTGGGTCTGCTCTAGTTGGAACCAACAACAGGATTTAGCCCAGGAATGGGCAAACTGTTGCTGGACTGCAGTTTCCAGCATTCCTTTACATTGATTGTATTCTATAGGGCTAAATGGGACCTACAGCCCAATGTCTCTTGCAGGGTTGTGATTGAGCCACCCCTTATTCAACTAAATTATATTCGGTTTGACCGATTCAAAGACTGAAGAATTATACACTCCACTGCACTGAGGCTGAGAAGTCAAGTTGACACGTTCCATTCCATGGTATTACCATCGAGGTAAATCCAGTCATTGACTAATGATTTTTAAAGAAGTTACTGCATTTTTAAAAATCCTGCCTTTCCTTCAAAGACCTCAGGTATATCACTACTTTTCTGCCACATTTATTCTGAGAACATTCTGAGGCCAGTTAGACAGACATGGTGGGGTCAGCCATTAACCTAAGCAGAGATCTAAATCTTGATCTCCACATTGTAAGTCTAGCCATCTAACATGGTGTCTCTCATGCATTGAGGTTCATATAACACAGAATTATTTCCCCTCAGCAGCTAGTAGGCAAAGCCACACTTCTGTTGAATATGGGTGTTCCATCCATAGCGATTTTGGTTAATAATAACTCTGTTCAAGCTTTTCATAATAAAGGAACTGGTATTAATCATTGAACAAAGACAGCAAGCTAGTTCTGCTCCCCTCGGTCCTAGCTCTCACATGTGAAGATCTAAATCTAAAAAGTCAGTACTGTATTTCCATTTGATCTGGAAGCCTGCTTTTTTCCCCGTGTTTTCTGATCACATAACAGACTGATAGAGACTTTTTCGTTCTTCAGATAAAGACATCCACATGCAAGAACCAGAAAGGAAAGGAGTGAGGCTAGGCAGCTCCCTTTACTCACTGGTTAAGATTGTCTCTTCTATTCAACTCCTGAATAAACTAAGATCCTCTATAAACTTGCCCAATCTGTCCCCTTCATAATGAATTCATAACAACGGTGCTTTACAAGGAGAATTCTCTGAAACTGCCATGATGGTCGTTGAGATTTTCATGGGGCTCTCACCGGTACCTTTTGTTGGCGATCGGTCTGAAGCCGAGGCTCCCTTGCGAAAGCTCCGCCATCTTAGGAGCTCCTGTCGTCCCACTGGTGAAGTAAACCATCATGGGATCTTCGATCTTGGTTTTCACACAAGTGTGGTCAGCGGGGGCCTCTCTGTGCAGGAAACAACCAGCCTGATGGTTAAGATAGGACAAGGGTTTACAAAACAGGCGAGGCTCAAAGCTGCACATGATGGCACTGGGGGTGGTCTTGTCTGGGAAGTTCTTGTTTTAGGCATAAAAGATGTCCCATCTGTACTCAAAGCTGTAACTAGACCAGGGTGTTTAGGGCTTTGACCTAAAGTGCAGAAATTCAGAGTGCAGGGTAGAGATGGACAGCTTGGCATGGTTTATTTCCCTGCTGAGTAACTGATCCTTGGTTTGGTACCCCATCCCCTCCAGCAGGCGTTCCCTCACTGGGAGCACCCAGAGGAGGCGGGGCAGAGAGATGCCACCAAGGGGATGCCTACGGGAAGGGGTGGAGCACTGGACCAGTGGCTCGGTCAGGAAACGAACCACGCCAAACCGCCCAACTTTCAGTTTGTGCCCATCTCTAGTGCAGGGCACTTACCCACATGCAAAGATTGCCTCCAACTGTTCTTTCTCAGGTCAAAGGATACGGAGAACAGGTGACTACAACCAGTATGTCCATGGCATGCTCAGGCCCAGTCATTTCCCCCTATTCCTTCACTCTTTCCCTGCATCTGCCTATCACACAGCCTTTACCAAGAGAGCAAAGAAGCCTTGGGCACTAAGATTATAGGCATACATGTGCATATATATGCAAAGTATCCTCCTCTATTCCTGTGCTGTTTTGGACTTCCAGACCACCTCTCCCCACAAGTCTAGCGTGCGTGTAGGAAAAATCAGTATCTCATATCCCGGCCCATTATAACGCACCATGATACCTACTGTATATACTTCACTATTGCTGCAAATTGCTGGTGCTTGCAAGAGGAAAGGGTGCTTCTGGACCCAATTTGATGAATGCTTAGACATGCCCAAACTGAGGCCAAAGCATCAGCAATGGACCAATGGGTCCAGGGATGAAACAAGAAAGGGATTATTTCATTCAGGTACTGTACAAGGGGCTTCTGATAACGGATGGCCAATTTACTCAGGCTTCATACTTGTGTGTAGTTGTACCTTGCTTTGATCAGGACATGTTACATGTCGACTATAGTTAATGATCGTATTTTGTCATAGATGCATGAATATCAGTGAAGAAATAATGTCTACCTGCAATATGACAATTATTAAGGAAGTCTTGTGTGAGTGAATTAATATAAAGATGCCTCGGAAATGGCAATTATGTGGAAATCATGTTCTGCTCAGAACATGACTGATAAACCAGACTCTTAGATTTATTGCCTTTGGGTGTGTGTCTCTGTCTTCCTCTCTCAGGTATACAGTAGATCAAACAAGACCTGCCGGGGAGAAATGAACAACAGAGCATTTTTGCAGCATGTGAATTATGAATGGGAATCTCTAACCATTTTTGTACATAAGCTTTTTCTTTTTTAAGTGCCCTTCCCCTGGGCTCTGGAATTCTGAACCCAATGAGCCCAGGCTAAACTCTCCACCCAAACACATATTTCCTGTTGCCCTTCCTCTGGCAGAGAGTTAAAAAAATTATGCAGGTTTTTCAGAATTGACCGCCTGCAGAAGATGACGTTGCTGCCAGTTGAATCCAATATTTTTTTTAGAGCTTTAAAACATGGAAGCCTTCAATGGCTTCAAAGCAGGATTTAATGTGAGTCGCTTTAAATTGTTGACTCTCTTTTGTATTTTAATCATATTCTTTTAAGTAACAATGCCTCACTATCCAAGCCACTGGAAGGGCCCTTTGGATCACCTGCTGGGAGTTGTCCATTAAGTCCCCTTTTGGGGATGAGGAGGTGGAGCATGAATAAATGAATATCTATTTTTATCTGAGAAATTAGATGTCCGAGGTTTGATCTCTGCTTTGTTTCAGCATTCCTCTGCTTTCCAGCTGCTCCCCTCTTTCTCTTTTGTCGATGTTTAGCCTTCATTTCTCAACTGCCTAAGCTGTGGCCTTCCTGCGTTTACCTTTTCTCAGATGATTCATGGGCAACAGAAAACAAAGGGAGAATAAATATGGAACCTAAGCCACAAAAACCAGCAATGAAATCTGAGGAGGTGGTGGTCAGCCAGACACGTGGAATGAAAAATGGCACCCTAAAATGGCCTAAACTTCTCAAACCGTTAACACACTTGTATCGTCACATTTTCAAATCTCTATCAGGCCCATCCAAAATAACTTACCTCTGCAGACCGCTCCCTCCAAAGGTCACCATTATCTGTCTCTTCCTGAATACATCTGGGAGGCCCTTTTGAATTTAATTTCGTATTGGCCGACATTGAAATCCTCTCTACGAAACAACACCAACAACACTTCAAGGGTTCCTAATTTGTAGAGGGCTCAGAGTGTGATGACCACAAGCCTCTCCAATAGATGGGACCTTTCAGATGTTTCTCTGCTTGCAAATCCAGTCAGTCTAACCCACACAGGCAATAGAGAAGGAGAATCTGTCGTCCCAACATCGGGTGAGTCAAATTTGCCCACTCTTGCTCTAAAACCACAGTAAAACTAGAGCTATTTATAGAGTATAAAATGATAAATGAGTGCAAAATGAGTACAAAATGAATTGGTAGGTAATGTCAGTGCTCCCCCCTCCCTCAGAAAACTCAAGAGGGAAGCTTCCAGCAAACAAAAATGCATGCTTTTTAGCAGGTCATTACTCGTATCATGTTAGATATTATTAGAAGGCACACAAGGCCAGCCCTGCCATTAGACACAAAGAGGTGCCTGCCTTGGGTCCAGATGCATAGAGGCTACTTTCCAGCTGTTTTCACAAATGTTCCTCTCAATTGGAGAGTCATAAGTGCCACCCAGTCTATCCTGGACCTGCTAAACAAGGTGCGGATCCAGGTGTGATGGAGGATAAGGTCTTGTGGGCAGTACTTAGGTTACCAGTCCAGCTAACCTGTACCTGTAGAGTAAGATTAGATTAGGCATCCTTCAGTCTCAAGAGTAGAATGTCCCAAAGGTGGCCCCAAAGATAGGCAAGGTGTGCCACTTACTTGAGCAGTTCGTTGAAGCTCAGCCATCCGTCTCTTCCACCTCCCGAAGATACCATGAGTTTGGCTTGCAATCCATAGCTCTCAGCTGCGATGGACTCGACCACAGGTGCCATAGCATCTGTAGTGACAATGCATTTGGCCCCGGAAACCTGGAGTCTGTACCGGATGTCTTTCGCTGTCAGTTGAGTTGTTCCAGGGATAACTGTGATTCCTGCAACAGCAGCAGTGTGAAGGTCTTAGTATGGGGAAATGGCTGTTGACCTCCACTCCAGCCTGCTCTCGAGGAAGGTGGAGGGCACGGATCCTTGGGCAGGTGGAGGGACGGGCCCAACTTTTTGTGGTTTCAATTAAGAGGAGATCAGATCCAGAGCTTGGGGGGGGGGGAAGGAACGTCCTTTGGGACTACATCTCCCAAAACCCCAATGGCAGCATGGTTGCTCACCACAGAACTTGGAAATAATGAATTACAAGTAAAAAGGCTACTTGCAAAAAGTTACTGTCTAATATAATTAGTAGTAATGAATAACAATGAAGTTACATCATGTGTAATGAGTAACATGTAATAATGTTCAAAATTATATTTTAATAGATTTCAAGAAGCATTTTGAAAAGAAATGCCCAGGTTTTATTCCATTCTTCAATCAAACTTATGTCACATGGCAAGTACTATTTGATTTTATCTTTTGCTCTGTTATTAGAATGTATGAAGTGTGAGTGTGTATAATGTGCCATCAAGTTGGTTCTCTCTTATAGTGACCCTAGTAGGATTTCCAAGGTATGAGAAATACTTAACAACAGTTTATTGCCATCTCCAATGAGTTTCCATGGTGAAATGGGGATTCAAACCCAGGGTTCATGAGTCCTAGTTTACACTCTAGCTACTACACTGTACAGGGATGCAATATCAAAACTGGCCACTAGGAGGAATCACAGAGTACTTCCTTGTATGCTTCTGACCTGCATGCAATAGAACTAATTACGTGCTCCACTGAGGCACAACAAAAGTAAAAATAATCTGGCTTCTGAGTAGTGAGAAATGCAAGAACTGCCTTTTAAAACATAATTCTTGGGTTTTGAGTGGCTCTGCTGGCTTTACTTTTACTTTTACTTTATTTAGATTTACACCCCACCCCTCTAAACAAAGTCTACTAGGATCCAGAGCTTGGGGAGAACTGTGAGAGTCACAGACCACAAAAGGAACTTTTTAAAGCTCTGGACAGATGAAGACCTCAGCTACTTCCTGATCTCTTTTCTGCCAGGTTCCTGTAACGTTCAGATTATTTTCACTGACCTGCCCTTATGCAAGCCACAGTTATCAACCACCATTCAGGGATTCGAGGAAGAATAACCAGAATCCTGTCTCCTCTGTTCAGGCGACATTGATCTGAGAGGATATTGGCCACTTTCCTGGAAAGGACTCCAAGCTCTTCAAAGCTCCATTTCACCTCACCTCCTCTACCATTTATCCACCATAGTGCTGGGTTGGAAGGGGTCTTTCCATCCTACAAAATGAAAGAGAGAGGGGGAAGGGTACAGCTTACATGGATTTTAGGACTGGTGTAAGAACAGTGCTTCCCAATCTTGGATCTCCAGATGTTCTTGGACTACAATTCCCAAAAATCCTGGCTAGCACACCTAGAGGTGAAGGCTTCTGGGTGTTTTAGTGCAAGAACAACTGGGGACAGAAGGTTGGGAATCGTTGGTGTAGAGTAACAATCCAGGTGTTATGCCCAGCTCACAAATGTTTTTGTCCCCCATAACGAGAACATGGGCAGGGCCTTCTCTGTTATGCTACCCAGATTCAGGAATTTTCCCCGAGGAAGTTTGATTGCCTGCTTCTTTGTTTAGTTTTAAATGGGTTGTGAAATTCTTTTTCTTCCGCATGGCTTGTAAATTATTTTAAAAGTATTAGCTTGGCTCTCAGTTTTGAAAATATTTTTCTTTCTGTAAATTTTTTTAAAATTTAAATTTTATGTCACATGGGGTGATATCTTTTTTCAGGTTGGAAGATGAGTTAGAAATAGTTTCATAAATAAACACTTTGATATTAAAGGGGAGAGTGTATGTCTCTGCCACACCTCCAAAACATCGAATCCTGGATACCTGAAACTTTGCTTACAAAGATGCATCTTGGACTTACAGTGGTGCCTCGCACAACGGGCGCCTCGTAGAGCGATGAATTCGCTCTACAAGGCCGTTTTTGCGATCGCAAATGCGATCGCAAAACGATGCCCGTATAGGC